CTTCATCATTCATGAATTCAGCGCATTTCGCATGAATATTGAGAAAAATGCTCTAAACTGATGGTTTGCTGTGCCTCAAAAATCATTATTATGGTATATGTTTCTGAATTTCAGAATAGTTTTTTTTCTTCTTTTCGGACTATGAAAATATTTTTGCCTTTCTGCTAAATGCATATTTAAATGGAGAAAACTTTAAAATAAGGTTCTTTCATTAATTAACTCATGTTGAAGAGAACTTCTTCTAGTATGATGTTCAGAAAATTTGTCAGTGGGATTTTTCATTGTGAGAAAACTAACTGTGACAACTTTTCAATTATAAAAAAGTACACGAAAATGTAATACATTTTATATTAGATAATAATATTCAGTTTTTGATAAGCGACATATGAAAAAATTCTTTTGAATAGAGAAAGCATTCAAATGTCTCATTTCTTATTGATATTATAGAGAAATATATTATCCACAGAAAACATTCTATTCTCTATTAATCAAGAAATGTCAACAGAATAGCAAAGACTATTTGATTTTTTTCTGTACAGCTTAACTTGCTCAGATTCAGCTATTAATAATTACTTTGTAATTTCATGGTTCTTTGTACGCAGAGATATCTGTTTTAAGACATTGTGTCATTTTTATATGCAAAACTACATACATACTATGAAATCAATATATAACAACTATCGAAATAATCTCAAAAACTCACAACTTCATTTTGATGATGCCGATTGAATGAAAGAAGTATACAGTTATAAAAACAGATTTACAATAGAGTATATACTTACACTATTAAACATACTGGAATCAGCACATAATATTTTATCAACTGTATTTATTTAATTTGTTTTAAATTATCTTTGCACGCTAAGAAGACATAAAAGATGATGACGATGAAAATTAAAGACTATACATTTTACATTTACTGATAGGCTTTTTCTATAGAAAAGAAATAAACACGATCTTAAATTTCCTTTTATTTTGAATATCGTAATAATTCTCTGTTCTTGAAGCGTCGTAGGACTTGGAATTCTTTGTATTTTTAGTACATTCAAATTGAAATAGATATACACTATTATTTAAACGTACAATCTAAATGGATAAACAGAACAACATACTCCATTTGTCTTTGACTTCTTCTCTCAACAGAATAGAACGAAATTAATTGATGCAGTAAGAGACGAAGTATATGAAATATTTTATTTCAATAAAACAAAGAGAAAATATCTACTAATATATGTGTATGTATGTGTAATATGTAGAATTTTCGTTATGAGTTACCTGTTATTGATGTTTTGAATTTGAATTATTTTGGTTATGATTTATTATGATTATGATGTATTTAAGTATTCTGATATGATACATTTAATTATTATCATATATTTTATACTTATCTTACAATGTTTTTAGGTTTATTATGATTGGAATTAACATCCAAAGTACTGATGATGATCTACCTGCCAGCTTGTGACCAACTGAAAACAGATCGAAAATTGTTACATATTACACATACATACACATATATTAGTAGATATTTTCTCTTTGTTTTATTGAAATAAAATATTTCATATACTTCGTCTCTTACTGCATCAATCAATTATTATTAATTCAATATTTTTTTGTTTTGTTTTGTTTTAAAATAATTTATCTTACAGTCATATGTTTACCAATCTTTTCTTTTTTTCACTTCTAAACATAGATTAATCATTTATTTATCAATAGAATATAACAAATTCTCTAGACAACCAATTATCGAATACTATTCACAAGTATCAATATTATTTTCTCATCATATACATTCGATAAATTGTCTTTCAATGAAAACCAACTCGTTTTTTTTTCCTCAACTATTAAAAGATCATCTGTAATTTTCACAAACTACAGACAAAATTCGATTTTTTTATTTAAAAATACTAAAAGTGTTGATGATGAGATTTTACAACTGCAAGACAAAGCTTTATAGGGAACACTTTTTTAAGTATAATTGTGCTCACTGTTTTCTCAATATGTCAAAAAAAAGAGAAAAAGAAATCACTTCCTTTTATTTTTGATTGATGCTGAAAGCTTGAAGGAAACGCATAAAGAACTAAATACTTTTAGATAGTTTTAAAAGATCTAATTCACTAAAAGAGCATATATCTATTTCATGTATTGACTATTTTGTATATTATTCACGAGTATTGAACACAGTTCAACTAAAGTGAGTTGAATCCGAATCTCAATTCATAAAATATTTGCAATTAGCAAAAGAAAATAATTCAAATTATAGATGTTTCTAAGTTATTCGACGAAACCTTTTTTAATAGAAAATTGACTCGATGTTGTATGTATCGTGCATTCAAAAGAATTTATTTTATGCAAACACTATTTTTATTGTTCAGTTTAATGTTATTTTGTCTTTCAGCAACGTTTTCAAACATCAAAACGTGTCTCTCACTCTTCTCATTTTTGTTTCAAATTAAATAAATTTTGTGATTCTGATTCAACTCATTTTAGTTGGACTGTGTTCAATACTCGTGAATAATATACAAAATAGTCAACATATGAAATAGATATATGCTCTTTTAGTGAATTAGATCTCTTAAAAATATCTAAAAACATTTAGTTCTTTATGCATTTCCTTCAAGCTTTCAGCATCAATCAAAAACAAACGGAAGTGATTTCTTTTCTCTTTTTTTTTGACATATTGAGAAAACAGTGAGCATAATTATAAAGAAATTACTATTGAAACAAATTTTTCTCATGTTCATATATGAAACTATATATATATACACCAATACTCGTCAACATTTCAATTGTCAAAACGAAAATATTTTCATAAAAATACGAAATTAATTTTGTTATGCAAGAATTTGTGATGAAAGTGAAGATGAATGAAAAACAATTATGGTTAAAAAATTGTTTTCTATGTATTTCTCTCGTTTCGATAGACAAACATTATACAGTAAATGTTCAATAAAACGCTGTGGGTGTGATTTTCGATCTTCTCTTCACCCACATCCACCCTTACAGAGTCTAGTTTTTGTTATAGTATAGCACATTGTCTCTATTTTAAGTTCGAAAAATATTAGATAAATTCATTGAATTATCGTTTGAGATTTTATTCGAAATACAATCTGAATAGGGAAGTTTTCACCCTTTCCGATGTTTGACAATCACTTTTTTTTTGTGACCCATCGTACAATCGTTTGCACAATCATATTTTCTTTCTCAAACATTATTAGAAGAACCAAATCGTACTCTACATAGCAATTACTTTTTATTGTAAGTTCTTTATATGTGAAGTTAAAAAGACTATTTTTTAGATTACTATTGAAAAATTTTTACTTGTGGAACGAGAAAAGAAAATTTTTTTCTTGTAACTTTTGATTGATTTCACTTTTATCATGTTGCATTAGAAATAGCGTAAGAATTTTCATTAGATCATATAGATATTTTGATAGATATTCTATGCTGATAAATTGTTTTAATCAATTTTTGTGTGTTTATATAAAAAGTATATTTAAATCATGAATAGAGTTCTTGACATGTTCATGGTTGAATATCAAAGCAAACAAGAAGAATATTTTTTGTTAACAAAGAAGATTTATAGGGTGTGGGTGTGGGTGTGGGGGTGGGGGTGTGGGTGTGTGTGTGGGTGTGTGTGTGGGTGTGGGTGTGGGTGTGGGTGTGTGTGTGGGTGTGGGTGTG